GAATAGTTCCTCTTGGGTGCATGAAAGCCTTTTAAAAACAAAATTTCAGTACTAAGTAAATATCACACACAAATACTTGTATATTTTAGCTACACCATTGAAAGTGACATTTTTGTAAAACTAAATAAGGATATTTCATGACGTATCGAATTCCATGCAATCATGTAGTAAGTATTTCGAATATTATTACCTGAACATGATATTTCGTGAAATCTCATGAGGAACGGAGCATGAATGACAGTTTCAATGACATTTTGGGATATGTTAAATTTGTCAGAAGAAAGAACAAATAAGTACGTACGTACGTATGTACAATACGTAAAGTACGTGCTTCTAACATTGTCCCAGTTAAATTACATCACTAAGCATCATGACGACAATAGAATGCACAGCATGTGGGGAAAATGTTACCATGAATTTGCAAGCAAATTTTCTTGCGTAACGTGTTAACAAAAATACATAACGGTGATTATTAATATTATTTAATAACTAAACGCTAACCAAAAAAGATCCATTATAAATTAACAGTATTTTAAGAATTTAAATAAAAAATTAAGTTTTTCTAAGCTTTGTTAATAGTATATATAATACCGAAATTACAATTTGGTGTATACTGTAATAAAATAATTAGCAGTTAAAACAGTTAAAACAGTAATTAAGATCTGAGGAATAAGCCAGCTAGAAAAGTAAAAGTCTTTTATGCTTAATTCTACTTCCAACAATTTTTTGTAAAGATGGAAACTTGTACACAAAGAGGGGTAAAAGTAATACAGTAATAGTCTTATGGTAATCTTTGTTAATCGTCCGTTGTATACATGTAAATACTTGTAACTATCGAAGTTTAGATCCGTCGTACAAAAGATTTTCACTAGTACAGTAGTACTAACGCTAAGCCGCCATATGCTTAATATAAATAAGTTCAAAATATGGACTAACCCTTCATTTTTATCTGGCGAATTTCTTTGAACAATTTTGTAGAAATAGAACATTAGACTTGTACCATATATAGTTAAATTGTTTATTCAGTAGGTTTATCATAGTTTTTTCCTTTTTTTTTTTTTTGGCGTTTCTTATTTAAAATAATAAATAAGACCACAACAAACGTTATGGTATACGTGATATTGTGTGAATGCGGATCTAATAGCTATACAATTTTTTTTAAATACTTAGGCAACTTAGTGATTGAATCCACTAAGTTTTGCGTTTTGTATTAGAAGCAACATATTTTGTATAGGTAAGAAGTTTCAAAATTCTTAATATGCACGCTTATAAAGAGGTTATGATATTTATTTTCAAACTTTTTGTTTTAACAGATTGTAAAATATAACATACCCAAATGTCTGCACGATCCCCAATATGTCGTATTTGTCTTAGTAAAGATGATCCAAAATCTCTAATAGCACCTTGTAAATGCAAAGGTAAAATTCTTCATAAATTGTTGAAAATTCATCGTTAATATTAAAATTTATTAATCATAAAAATTATGTGAAAATTGGGTTGATAGGAAGTGTTAAATATGTGCACTCAAACTGTTTGACTCAATGGAGAAATAGACTGTTGAAAATTCGTACAACTAAAAATTCTGATAGATGTACTTCATGTAAATTTGAATATATAGTAAGAAAAAAGAAAACTGTAAGGAATATTTTGAACCGTGGAGGTGAGCCAACTTTTAAAGTTAATTGTTATAATTATTATTAAATTGTTAATATTAATTAAATTATTATTAAATATGATAATATTAATTAAATTATTATTGATGTGATAATTGTATAGACGTAAGAATTACTATAACATGTGGAATAGTTATTGCATTACTTATTCCCAGTGGTTATATGATGAAATTCATCATAATGCTTACATCGGCGATGTATTCGAATGATGAAACTGTAACAAAAGAGATTTTCTCGGACACTATAACTAATGCATCATCTTCAGTATGGACGTTGTCGTCATTCAATCTTCCATTTTGTGCAACTCTTACACCATCAGATATTAATCTTCATAATGAAATAGTTTTATCATCAGTTCCATTACTATTAATCAAGATATTTCCAACAATACTCGATGCTGAATTTTGGTTTGGTATTCTTTGTCGGCCTGAGATACAACATCTTCATCTTGGAGTATTTTTTCTTGGTAGTGTTAGTAACATCTATACAGCTTACACATTGATTAATGAATTGTTCGATATGTTCACGGAGGATAGACGTGAATTTAGGCATGCTGTGTTACTTGGTGTTTGTTTTATGGTTATCACATTTTGGTTTCATTATACCGTGACGGCCTTTAGAGTTTCAACTACTCAGGTATTTTATAATTTTTGATTATATTTCATTATTTAATTAATTAAAAAAATTGATTGTAAATTAACGAATAATTATTTTATTAATAACAAGGAATTTTTACAAGAATTGCCAGTATGGATATTACGGTGGATTACAATCAGTTTAGCGCTTTTTGATTTTGGATTTAGAAGAATATTTTTTCATCTTAGCAAGACTAATTTTGATGATGTAGAAATTATGTCCGTGCAAAGCATGGACTTCAATTTAGATTAAGCTTATTTATTTTTTAATATATTAATGGTTGAGAAAGTAACGAACAATGTGAAAGTCAAAAAAAATTTTATTATACTTTTCGAATACTCCAAATAAATAAAAGCTAGAATCTACGATACGTATCACACTTCATATAATTTAACTTATTTTCTATTCTATTGTTCAAACTGAATGTTGTAAGAATTTACCTGATAATAATTATATCAGGAGACACAATTGGTTTTATTTTAGTGGATTTTAACTAATCTTTATCGTTATGCTGACTATTTTTTACGAACAAAATTAATGCGGATGTAAATCGTTTATTAATTTAAACTAACAATACTGTACTGTACGTACGTAATCGACAAATTTTACGTATACGCGTCCGATGAATTTTTGTTATATTATAGACGATCTTTTATTAAAACAAAACTTTATTTTTTCGTGAATTTTAAAAGTGACTCGTTCGCTTTTTTTTTTTTGTTTAAAAAAAAAACCATAGTAAATACAGAAATAATATAAAATTTTGTAACGAAACTTTATACAAGACAAGAAATTAATTTTAAGGACTAATTCTTTTATTGTATACAGACGTATATAAAGATGGGTTAAATATTTTATTTTTATTTAAATTATAAAATTACAATGTAAATTTTTTTAAAATTAAAAAAAAAACTAAATTAACGAGAGAATTAAAAAATAAACAAGAGAATTCAAAAAAAAAAAATTAAATTAACAAAAAAAAATTAAATTAACAAAAAAAATTAAATTAACAAGAGAATTAAAAAGAAAATTAAATTAACAAGAGAATAGAGAATTAAGTATAAAATATAAAATAAGATTATATAAAATTTATTTTAATTCTTTTAATTAATAAATTAATCCAAAAGCAATAAACGTTTCTGGTATAAACTGTTTCACGCATGATTCTTTGATCTGCTAATGTTTAAACGATCCATTAGTTTACTTCGAGTCTCTGAATCAATTGTCAAATTCGCACTTCTAATTTCATTTTCCAGTTCGAGATTCTATTTCTTTTTTCATTTCTATCGTTGATCTTTCGACAAACCATGTACAGATAATTCGTCCCAAAACTTTAAAAAAAAAGTAAAAAAAAAAAAAGGTAAGTAAATACTAAAAATAATAAACTAGCCGGATATTACGCTGCCTATTACGAAAAATACCAAGTTCCGACTCGACACTTCCAAAAAGCCAGTAACAGCACTAACACTTGCCAAAGGGCCAGTTAACTGGACCTACTCACTTGCCAAAGAGCCAGTAAAGGCCAAAACCTACTTAGACACTCTTATCAAGCCAGCACGAAGCTGCTAATAGCGAACTAGACACCTTTATTCAAGCCATATAATCACTAATAGTCGACTAGACACTTTCTAGAAGCCAGTACAGACAAACGAAGATTCCCCGTAATAAGCCAAGGTTGCTCTATTAAGAAAAGTGCATACTAATTCCTTCTCTAGAACTAGTTGACCTTAATAGACATCTTAAATCATGTAGTAGCAACCTTCCGTTACCGAAATGTTCACAAACGTAATACTAACCTTCGTTGACATATTTGACATGTTTAACATAAATAACGTGAATTGAGACGTGCAAATTGAATTGAGAGATGTATTGATGTTCTCCATGCATTTTACGAGCTGATGTGTATATGATCTTTCGTTAAGATCAAGTGATTTTTTTTGATAAAGTGGCATTTTCCAAACAAATTCCAATTGACAATACAATGTATTGTATTTGACTTTGTTGGGCGATAGGTATTATTAATTAATTGAATAGCGAAAATAAAATGTACTGATTAAAGGGTTTTCCCTGAGGCCAAGGAATCGATCGATATAACGAAAAATGAAGATTTCAGGTTTGCTATTTCGACTTTTTGATCTAGATCGAAAATTGAAAAATGTGGCGATCTTTTATATCTTGTATATTTTGAATGCATCAAAATAAACATCAAAATAAACAACTGACCAATCAACCGCCTTAGCAGTTAGGTGTCAACAAGCTAAAAATTTATCTAGCCAATCGAATTTCAAGATCAGGTGTAACGTAAAAGGAACGCGAAAAATCAATCCTATGAAACAACCTTGAGTCTTTTGTAATACGTAAAGATCTAACTTAATCTAACTGCAAAATCTGCCAATCATAAGTGGTAACGCAAGGGTAAGGACGACAATTTTTGGTGATCTGATTGGTCGGAGTTGCCGAGTATCGTGGCTTTAGTTAGTTAGGCGACCTCCTTATTTAGATATCTATATCGATATTTAAGGGATGATGCAAAATCTATTTTTTTTTTAACGTTTTTAGATTATTTTTTTTTTTTAGATTTGGACTAGGATTAGGGTTTATACGTAGTTCTAAATTAAGGCCCCCAGATTTAGCATCATCAGATTTGCGACATTTAACAGCAATTTCGTTCTATTTTTGATTTACGATATCAAAATGACAACTGCTAGAAAAGCAAGTATTGTTTTTTTAATAAATAAAATCTTAAATAAATAAATGAATGAGATTATTTGATGAAATTTCATTTCGTTATGTGTAAAATTAAAAACGATAGACAATCAAGTGCAAGGCTGCAGTAGCTTGGGGACCTGCTCAACCACTAAGTACGTCCTTTTCATAATATGCTTTAATGATATGTTAATTAAAATATTATTGTATAATAGGCATTGAAGAAGTTGAAGTAGCACCGCCCGGGGTAATTTTCTGTGTTATTAATAACTTGATACCAATGCATTTTTGGTTAAAATTTTTTTAAAATTTTCACATATTATATAGAAAGGAGAAGTTAGGGTTAAAATTTTAGCGACTGGAGTGTAAGATTAATAAATTATATAAATTATATAAATTATTATTAATTTTAATTCATCATGCATTTGTTTATTTAGTTGTCACACAGATGCCTATACACTTTCAGGCAAAGGTAACAAAGTTATCTTTCTTTTGTCCTACATATTAATCTAACATATTATCGTAACTAATCTGTTAACTTTCTGATTTTATATAGACCCCGAGGGAGTATTATGGCCTATAATTTTAGGACACGAAGGGGGTGGTATCGTTGAATCAATTGGAGAAGATGTTACAACAGTTCAACCAGGAGATCACGTGATACCTTTGTATATTCCCGAATGTCGTACATGTAAATTTTGTAAAAGTGGAAAAACTAATCTTTGTTCTATAGTGAGGGCTACTCAGGTACTTATGTTCCTCTAATAATTATGATGAATATACTGATTAAACTTAATAATCAATAAATTATATCACGAATGCTTAAGGGACGTGGATTGATGCCGGATCAAACGACTCGATTCACATGCAAAGGTCAAAAGGTTTATCATTATATGGGCTGTTCTACCTTTTGTCAATATACAGGTAGAAGATGTACAATTTAATAATTCATCTATTTGCGTAATATGAGAAATAAAAGTTTGCTTATTAATTCTTATTCAATTCATCTATTAGTATTGCCGGAAATATCCATTTCCAAGATCAATTCCAATGCGCCATTGGATAAAGTCTGTTTACTTGGTTGTGGAATCACCACTGGTATTAATTATTATTATTATGATTGTTTGAATTTCTTTTAGTATGGGTGACCCTGCTCTATAATCAATTGATTAATAATTGCATAGTGTATTTAATGATATTTCATTGAATATATAGGATATGGTGCTGCCGTAAATACCGCAGATGTTCAACCCAACTCTACAGTCGCAGTATTTGGTTGTGGTGGTGTTGGATTATCTGTTATTCAAGGTGCTGTTGCACGTAATGCACGGTACTGACTAAAATTGATCATATTAATTTTTTTAAAATTTGAAAAAAAGATTCAATATTGTTTTTAAATCTGTAGTCAAATTTTTGCCGTTGATACTAATCCAAAGAAATTCGAATTTGGTAGGTTTTTATTTCATGAAATAAGTTTGAACTATACTAATTATTTTAAAAAAAATTTTTATTATACAATATTTGTTTATTCTGGCTTAGCCAAAAAATTGGGAGCCACTGATTTTATTAATCCTACAGACTATGAAAAACCTATTCAACAAGTTAAATAATAGGGTTTCATTTTATTTGCACATTTGTTAAGGTAGTTGCATATTCGTTAAGACTTGCTTATATTTAATTATCCCTTTACAATTAATAAGGTATTGGTCGAAATGACTGATGGAGGCCTTGATTACACCTTTGATTGTACTGGTAATACAGGTGTTATGCGTGCTGCGCTTGAGGTGAGTAAATCCGTACAACTGAAAATTTGATAACTTTGAGATAACAAGTATAACAATCGGTTTTTCATTTTAGGCATGCCATAAAGGATGGGGCCAATCTATTATTATCGGTGTAGCTGGTGCAGGTGAAGAAATATCTACACGACCATTTCAACTTGTAACTGGCCGTGTTTGGAAAGGATCAGCTTTCGGCGGTGTTAAAGGAAGGAGCGAATTACCTGGAATTGTCGAAAATTATTTGAATAAAAAATTAGAGGTTGATATGTATGTTACTCATGAATTTAAAATTGAAGAAATCAATAAGGCCTTTGAAGCAATGCATGAGGGAGATTGGTAAATGTTTCTTTCATTATAATATTTTTATTGCTTATTATGAGCTTTTTGTTTAATTTTTTTTTTTAATTCGTTCTATAGTATTCGTTCTGTGGTCTCTTTTGATTGAAGATAGTGCAATTTCGGGTTTAAATGTTATTATTGTCAAATTTCTTTAGAAATGATTAAATGTAAATGTAGCTTTATTTGCCAATTAAAAAATTCTAGTATTAACTGTTAAATGTAAATATGTTTTATTTGCCGATTAAAAATTATATTAAATCGATTCAGAACTATGTCTAACGCTATTGTAAAAAAAAATTTTTTTGGACAAGAAATAAATAATACAAATGTACCCAAAACACGCAAGTGAAGCAATAACCTAGTTGGAAACAATAATTAACTATTATACCCTGGTCACTATATCAAGATCGCAGGGCATAAATCAGTTATGTCCTGGGCACTATGTGATAAGCGGGACTTTCAGCCCCGCTTATACCCAACTGCCCAGGAAATAACTATTACATATGACAATCTGAAGTCTCTTAATTTTTAAACCAGTATATACTATTCGAGCGACTCAGGGAAAATTAGACTTTGAGTTTCAAGATTATTTACTTAGCCCTGACCGGTGACATATTTCTTTGCCTCTGATCACGGTTTCATTTTCGCTCGGCTTCATTTATATGTAATCATCGATGAAAATTCATTATGATCCAACTTCTATCATCGTCAAATTTGCACTCGAGAATAATCTAACACTGTATGTGCAGTACATCATGCATAATTTAACATTAGTAAATTGCTTTGAAAACTTTTGTAAAATTTGATAACCAGACAAGTGGGGTCTTTGCCTTGAAAATGACCTTACGGTACATGATACCGTAAGGTCATTTTCAAGGCAAAGACCCCAAGTAATTTTTTTATTTAAATTTTGTTCTCAGCTAAATATATTGAAATTATGCTTTTTCATTTATAACATAGGTAATTGCTTTTTCATATTATTGCATAAATTATCTAATGACATTTTAGCATACTACAAAATATAAAATAATTATAAATAGATTAAAAAATAATAAACTTACACTAAAATAATCAAAATGGGAAAACAATCAAAAAAAAATCAAGTTCAAAAATTTTTTGCAGGTCTTTTAGCAAGTTCAAATGCCAAAAAGAAAACAAAAAACAGCAAAAAAAAAAGATCTAACAAAAAACCTAAAGTAAAACCTCTGCCTATGCCTATCAAAAAAACTAAAGAAAAACTGACTCGTTCTGAAGGTATTCAAAATTTTTAATTTTATCTTTTAAAAAAAATTTATATCTTTTTTAAATACTTTTATAAAAACCAAGATACCAAGATTTTGGAGAATCAAGATTTGATTCTCAAAAAGACTGATCAATTAATGACTAGAATGGACCAAATCGAAAATCGCTTAAGAGCATTAACGAGTATGTAACCCGTCGCGTTGCTCCAATTTCGTTGTTTAGCAGACCAAATTTTATGTATTAAATTTTTAATAAACAATTTAAAATGCAGGAATTCTTAAATAATGTACCCGTAGAAAAATCCCCTGTCGACAGATTATAACTATTATTACTACCCGGTAGGGTAGCGTATTTCTCTTCGTTACATCACATCAATTGTTAATATACTATAAATAGTTGGCTAAAATTGCAAATGTAGAGTGATATAATCTTTGGCTTTTTAATATTCTTTAATCCTAAATCCAAAATATAAAACTAATATTCATGCAAAATATTATCAAAATGAAAGTCTACATTAATATACCTTGCAAAATGAATTTACATAAACCACCTAAAATATTCCAATTGGTTTTTCAGTTATGTAGAATCTTGAAAATTAATTTCAAAACCTTATAAAGAATTTCATTCGTTTTTCTGCGTTTGAGTAGTTCATATATTTTTAAACTTATCAACAAATCTACTTTTCATATTTATAAATTTATATACACTTAGTAAATTGTGTAATGGTGTTAGATAACCAATAATTTTTTTATTATTATCCAATCTATCAAACGGAATCTACCTAATATGTGTTAGTTCTTAGTTGAAGCTTTTTATGCAGTCGTCAATCTCTTTATTTTTTTGCTTGTCCATCCTTGAGTTGTTAAGAATGCATGTCTGGTACTATCTACATTTGCGTTGTATTCGTTACAAAGTGTACATCCATAAATATTCATCAATTATATTTTCATACTCATTTATACGACTCCTAAATTTAATTTTTAGGCTTACCGGATTATTAATGTAAATAAAATAAAATTGTAAATACAGTATTCATAAACTTGAATAGCGCACCCTAAATACTGAGATGTCTTTATACTCACGAACTAATCTGACGTGAATAAAAATAAATCAAATAGTAAATACGCGTGAATTTCAATGGCTTATTCAAATGCTTAACAATGTTCATACACACATTAAATAATTAAAACGAATAAATTAATTAAATTGGCGCGAATGAAATGAAAGTAATGAAATTAAATAGAGAATTTGGATATATTTTAAAGGGAAATTCTATTTTGACCCGAGTCATTTTAACCTGTCACGTGATCACCTGACCAGTGTTAACTACCCAATGGCACCCCGAAAAATTTTGAGAAACGTGACCACAAGCCAATCCTGCAATCACAGATGAAGATCAGGTGTAACGTAACACTAACGTAACATGTTCAGGAAAATTAAAAACAACCGTTCTTTTTGCTAAAAATTGCCCATAACTCAAAAATCTGCATATGAAACCATCTTTAGTGCTCTAATAAAAAGTTTTCTTTGAGTGATTTTACTATATATCTTGGTAATAATAAATACTAATATAAACATTAAACCTAATATTAATAAGCTTTTAAGACTTTAATTATCGTAAAATTTTTCGGGGTGCCGTTGGGG